GTGCCACCTGCCCTCCGCTCGTCTACTTCAGTCCTGGTTTGACGTTCCTCGGCGTCTTTAAGTCCTTTCCTTACACTTGCACCCAGGCAGGAGCCGTGGGGGTAAGACAATGAGGGGTGGGGGTAAGACAATTGGGTTGTCAATTTAGAGAACGTATTACTCTAATATGGGAGAGCATGAAGCCGTCCCGTCGAGGAAGAAGGGGGGGGGGGGTTAGAAAAAGTGGGTAACGATTTAGAGCACAGGGTACTCTACTATGGGAGAGCCGAGAGCTGTCCCTTGCTATAACCAATGAAGTGTATCCTAATGCTCAGAAGCGTCTCCGATGGCACCAATAATAAAAGCATTAGCCGGATGGTCTTCCGTATCGTCCCCAATAGTGGCGCAAGCTTTTTCTTCAACTTTTTCTCAAATTATGCAATTAGACTTAAAGCGTCTTTGAAGAAAACAGACAAAAAGGCTATCTTCTGTAATACACACCGAACCTTATACTTCAAATTCTTCAATACGTATCCAATTCGGTTTCAAGCGCAATTTCAGCTAGCCGCAGAGAGTCGTAAGAGCCGTGCCACCTGCGACCGCTCTCGTAGTGGCTACCGCGGCCCGCACGGTTTCTGCGTGCCCATTTTGTGACGTCCCAATCCGCAATGTGACTGCGACAACACTTGATGTGGACTTGTATACAGGCCTGCATTTTGAAGCTGTACATGCACGACGAACGAAATCGCGATTAGACCGCGGGGATCGCGTATACTGCGTCACCATACATCCACCGTTCCCGCATCCCCGCTTTGGTACGCGCGAGTGATTCGTGAAACGATGGAGACTCAAATTGCAGTTCCGATCCTCGTGGAGATAATGCCGAAGGTAAAACCAGTTGTTCGTTGCTTACGATGACCAGGTCCGTATTTTTGTGAACAGGGGCTCATTAGGTGTGAGGCCCACGGGACGGCTCTCCCATAGTCGAGTATATAGCAAGCGCTCAAAATCGTGAACAACAGAGCCCCGCTAGATGGCACGAACTGTCCAGTTTAACCAGGCGAAAATTGAACTTTTGAACCACTCACGCAATTTCCCATAGTAACGTCCGGTGGTTGCATATTGAATTTGGAGCATATTTTAGTCGCACGATGTCGAGCTTCGGCGCCGTCCACACCTCCACAGCGCATGCTCGCGTCGCTAGTCCCGTGCCTAGACGCGCATGCTCGCGTCTTGAGCCGGCGCACGAAGACACCTGCAAGGCTGTCGCTCCCCTCCCCCTCTCCCACCTCGCAAGGCCGACGCAAACAGCGTCTGAAACGCTTTCTCGTGCGTGCGAGGATCCTGGGCCATGCGTGCCCGAATCCCTTGGTCAAATAAAGTTTTTACCACCACCACCTTCTCGTGCAGCGCTACCGTTCACGGGCCACCCCGTATATGTAGGCACTGCATCGCGCGTCCGGAATTCAGTCAAGGCGTCGTTACTTGGCTTTCGCTTGACGTCGAATTCAACGCTTCTTCTTCATTCAATAAATAATAATAATATAGACGAAATAACAACTAAGCATGCCCAAACCATGCGCAATTACGCAACATTACCCACCACTCCTAGGCACTTTATCACGATATGGACCGACAGCTGTAGCCAATGTGTTTAGAAACAAGTGGTTCACGATTTTGAGCGCTTGGTACTCGACTATGGGAGAGCCGTCCTGCGGAGCTCACACTTGATGAGGCCATAAAATGTGTTTTAAAAGAAAAGTGGTTAACCATTTCGAGTAAATGGTACTCTACTATGGGAAATCATAGAGCCGTCCGGTGGGCCTTACACCTAATGAGGCCCTGTTCACAAAAATTCGGGCCTGGCCATCGTAAGCAACGAAAAACCGGTTTTACCTTCCGAGGAATTAATTCGTGTGGGTTTGGCATCACTCACCATGGCTAATGGGGAAGGGAAGAGGGTAGACAATTGGGTTAACGATTTAGAGTACTTAATACTCTTATATGGGAGAGCATGAAGCCGTCCCGTCGAGAAGAGGTGTCTCGTAATGCTGAAACGCTACCAGGCAGCCTGGCAACGTCTCCGATGGCGCAAATCATCAAGGCATTAGCCGAATGGTCTTCCGTATCGTCACCAACAGTGGCGCAAGCTTTTTCTTCAACTTTTTCACAAATTATGTGATTAGATTTGAAGCACTTCCGAGGAAAAGAGACGAAAGGGCTATCTTTTGCAATACGCACCGAACCTTATACTTCAAATTCTTCAATACGTATCCAATTCGGTTTCAAGCGCAATTTCAGCTAGCCGCAGAGAGTAGTAAGAGCCGTGCCACCTGCGACCGCTCTCGTAGTGGCCACCGCGGCCCGCACGGTTTCTGCGTGCCCGTTTTGTGACGTCCCAATCCGCAATGTGACTGCGACAACACTTGATGTGGACTTGTATACAGGCCTGAATTTTGAAGCTGTACATACACGACGAACGAAATCGCAATTAGACCGCGGGGATCGCGTATACTGCGTCACCATACATCCACCGTTCCCGCATCCCCGCTTTGGTACGCGCGAGCGATTCGTGAAACGAAGGAGACCCAAATCTCAGTTCAGATTCTGGTGGAGCAATGCCGAAACCCTCGCTTTTAGAGGAAGGTTCCGCCCCTGTCGCATGAGTGCCGGCTGCGGAGGGATCCGGATCACGTCAAATGTCGCGTGAGTGATCCGTCCGTGATGCCGTCCGTCGTGTGAATACAGCTTTAAGACGTCACCGCTGAAATCGCCACAACGGACCTCACCTTAGGCGCGGTTTATCACTCGATTTTTTATCGCTGGATTCACGGACTGTGCTACCGCTCACTGCTACCACTCACAGGCCTGACTACACGTATCCGTCGCTGCGCGTGGCTTTCTGACGCCGCGCAGTGCCCTCTCCCCATAGAGAGTGGGCGAGTGGCTACGAGAAGTGACTTGCCCTCTTTCTCTGTATGGGAGAGGGATCGGCGCCGCGTCAGAAAGACGCGCACTGACGCGCTGCGACGGATACGTGTGGTCAGGCCTTTAGACGCCTCATCCAAGGCGTCAATACGAGTGATGCAAGATATCACCACGCGATGACAACCCGTTGACTTGACATCGGCAAAAATTTGCAACTTCACTGCGATGTTGCTCTGACGTGATTTCGCATATCACGACGTCATCACGTGACATCCTTGCTTGGTCAGAGAGGTGGTTCGTTCACGGAGGCAATGCAAAACCCAAGTCCAGTGCGAGAAGCTTGCAACGCTTCTGATCATGGAGGCATTGAAAAACCACGTTTGGTGCTGAAGGTTTTCGGAAGGTGGAGGGGGAAAGATCAAGACGTACATCAAATGATAGGAGAAATAAGGTGGAGTTCGCCTTCGAGTTATCTTGAGCATAAGGGACCGTGTGTGGGGTTTTAGGCTTAACAGGCAAAGTAAACGTGTGTGTGCTTGACAACGCGCAGTAAAGTGCTTAAGAGCACGATTTCTAAAGAAAAAAAAAACCAGGAAACCGTTGTAAATGGGACACCAGTTGATGAAATTAGAAAAGCGTATAAACGACGATATGTATTTCGTCGGTCGCGATTTTCCAATTTTCCTCCAGTGATGGACCAACTCGCCAAAACCAAAGTATTTTGGGGCAGACCACTTACTTATTGAGAGTTGTAGTGCTGCAAGCGCCACTCTCTACTCATCATGCATCTTCTTAAGTACACGAGCCTCAAGCATTTCCACCTCCATCGAAAATGCCGCCCCCGGGGCCAGGGATTCGATCCCGCGACCTTCGAGTCAGCAGCGGAGCACCATAATCACCAGACCAACATGGCGCGTACCAGCTATATGTTGCAGCTTTGATACATATCTGGAGTTTAACGTTCCAGAACCACCATATGGTTATGAGAGCCGCCGTAGTGGAGGGCTCCGGAAATTTCGACCACCTGGGGTTCTTTAACGTGCGCCCAAATCTGAGCACGCGGGCCTACAACATTTCCGCCTCCATCGGAAATGCAGCCGCCGCAGCCGGGATTCGATCCCGCGACCTGCGGGTCAGCAGCCGAGTGCCTTAGCCACTAGACCGCCACAACAGTGCTGTTTGTGTCAGCTCTTGAGAAACAAATGGTAATGCTTCCCGAACAAGGTTTGCATAGGTTTGTTCACATGAAGCTGGCTCCAAATTAACAGTACTACACACTCAGCTTCAAAAACCTGGAAGAGCTGCCTTTCAAAGCCTTTTAAAACACTCTCACTACGAAATAAAATATTTTTCTGTAGCAGGCAGGCATTGTCCATGTCAACCTGCGTCATTCTTCGGAGAATCGTGGTACCCACTACATGTAGCGGGTACCACAATTTTGTGCAATTTTTTTTTTACGCTGTGGTTCATGACGATGACAAATTATGCCTGAAACTTTAGCAACGGGTTGGAGCATTCGATGGAGCACTCGTTACGTTGTTCTTGGTTGTTCTAAAACGCTTTATGTCATGGAGAATGTCATGGAGAAACGCTTTATGTCATGGAGGTCAGGTAGTGCTTACGGACGCCGGCGGAACACTACGGCGCACGCGACCCTTGTTCTGATCTCATTACAGCTTTCGCTGTTAAAGTTCAATGGCGGAGTCAGTTAAATTTCGTCTAGCTCAAGATAAGCATAGTCCATTCGCTGCTTTGCTGGATAAGCTCTGCTGGCCGTGTATTTGGCCAATGTGCCTCCATCTACGACCTAACCATCTGTAGTTTGGCCCGAACTTTTATTCTTTAGAAACGGTAATTATTGCTAAACAGTACGTTTCACTTGTTTGTATTCCTCTCGTAGGTGATGTATAGTCAGCGCATTTTTGTTCACGATCATTTCCTAATTTACTTCGTGTACAATGACGCAAGTCATTGCCAAGTGTCCACTGACACGTTAGTTATTCATACCCGTTAAAATTTCGTAACTTCTGTATTAATGATGAATAAATGAATAACACGGAGCAGTTGGAAGAAGAGATATGTACGAGAGCAAGTGAAGTATACACGAATAATTTATTTACGTCATTCTTTTCTTTTTTTTTCATGGCAGATAATGCCATGTGTTCAACGACAGCGCTTCGATATAAAAGGCGTGGAAGCAATGTGACCGCGTAGCGAGACTTTAAATGAAAGCTGTTTAGACTTGCCTCGTCGAACAACGTTCAGCAGCTGTAAAGTTCACGACGCTCTTCGTGGCGAGCAGATACGAAGCGCAGAAGCTCGTAAATTCGACACTTGCTGCACTCCCGTGAGCGTGAAAGCAAAAAAAAAAAAAAAACAATCTTGAAGCATCCGCCAAACGGCGTAGCTCGGTAGCGACGTAGCAGTCGTTAAAAAAAAAGTGCAGCCACGTGTGAGAGATTCAAGGTTCGATAGAAAGTTCAGGAGAATTGAAATAAAAAAAATGAAGTGTAGTCGGGTTATAAAGCAGCCGGCTAGATTTACGCTCAAAAACAATTGTACATGCAAATGAGCCGAATCGCACGACGTGCTTACAAAAACGTGGCACGTGCAACAACGTGGGCAAGGGAGATCCCAACAGAACACGTCAACATCTAAACGTCAAAAGATTGAGCAAGATCAAATTAATAACAACTTCACTTTAACGACTGCAACTTTCGCTTGGAGCGCAGTATAACAGCTCGAGAAAGAGGATACATGTTGGCTGATAATCTCAGGCCAACGTTTAGCCCACCAACCACTCAAGGCACTTCACGAAATGCTACTATAGATGCGACTCAGTGGCAGTGGCCCAAGACGTCTCGTCACCAGATGGCACCGTAAATTTATATCACAAAATGCATTTGCAATGTCGTACCCTGTCGCACATTTGTAATACTAATCGGAAGTATCGAAATATCTTTTGCAAGATATCTGTATAATAGCGCAGCGGGTAAAAAAAAATAAAATGGGGCAGTTTTACAATTGAGATTAGGTATCTGCCTTCAACGTCGATTTCCTTCGTCTAACTTGTCCCTTCGAGCTTTTTTAGGAACATCGCATCTCGCGCACTGTTCTAAACGCGGTGGTAATTAGCTCCGTACGCCCGTCAGCCTAAATTTTCGTCCACGTTTGCCGGACATAGGAGTGGACACTGCGTGGCCGCCGGCGTCAGGCTTTCTTCTTTGTCGTCACCGGTAGAACAACTTGAGCATCAGCTTGTGTCCCACACGCGAACTGGACAGCCCGATGCCGCACAGCAACGCCGCGTACGCGGCCACCATAAGCCACGACTTGTTTTTGCGCAGAAAGTCTTGCCAGCCCGGCGAGTAGTAGGCCCTGTCCACGGTCATCATCATGCCCGCCGGCAAGATCTCCGGCGCGGGTGGTGACGCGGGCCGTGCCGCGGTGTACACCAGCAGGTACTTGACGCGAACCACGGAGTCGTTTTGCACGAGGTAGTACCTCTCTGGAACCATGCCCGCCATCGAGTCCCGAGCAAAGGCCCTGGAGGGCTTACTCCTGGCCCTGTCCTGGCACTTAACGTCCGGATGGTCGATCACCTCGCACATGGCCACGCAGGAGAGCTCGGGACTGACTATCGAGTGCTGCCAGCCGTAACCGGCCGGACTGAAGGTGGCCGAGACGCTCAGCTCGCTCGACAGGTACGTGCCGGAGCCGAACAGCGCGTTCTTGTTCATGTGCGTCAGCAGGCCATTGTGCAGGATGGAGTGGAAGTTGTCGAGCCGCGAGCCGTGGTAGGCGAAGAAGACCTCGCGGTCTCCGCGGGTTGCTTCGAAACGACGGTCGGCCTGCGGGCTGCGCTCGACCTCGAAGACGGCGTCGACGGCCGAGTCGCCGCTCAGTTCGGGCACGTCCTCCTTCTTCCGAGACCTGAGACGGACGCCGCCGCAGGTGAGCACCCAGAGCAGCAGCTCCCAGGACTCCCGGGGTACTCCACCTGTTGCCGCCGAGGTCGACGACTTGGTGGCGGAGCCCGCGGGCAACAGGGTGCCGAGCGGAGGAACCCTGGCAGCCGCGTCGCGGAGGTCGTCGATGCGCTTCGTGTCAGTCTCTTGATCGGCGAACGACGTCGGGAACGGCCGCAGCACGGTGTCGTAGCGGTACGACCGCAGCGCTGCCACGAAGAGAGACCACTGGAGGTCCGCCGCCTGGACGTCTTCGGCGATAATTTTGAGGACTGAGAGCCGGGCATCCTCCGAGTTTTGGGGCGGCGGCGACCGCACCGGGCTCTCCGGTGCCGCCATCTTTTTTCGTGCCACCTGCGCTGCCTAGGCAGCTGCCGCACGGGCCGTAGGCGCGAGAACCCGGACGCTCGCTGCGCCACGCCACGGCTGTCGCGGGCATCACTATCGCTCTGTGTTTTCGTTGTCGTCCGATGTTTGTGCAGCGGTGGCAGCTTTTCGCCGTTCCACTTCAGCCGCGCTTCGCTTCGTCATCGATACTTGCGCCGCGACAAGAGAAAAGGAAAGCGCGCACGCGGCGCGCCTGCGCAGTGCGACGCTTTGAGCAGACGACCCGAAGCTGCAGACCGGAAACGAAGAAAGACGCGTCGTGTAAAAAAAAAAAAAATTATCAGTGGCAGTTCTTTGCTATCGACGCCGCCGTCATATAATGATAGTGCGTTATATATCTCCACGGCTGCGGAAGTCGTACAGTGATAAAGGATAGCAGGCGCAGCTTGTAAAGGTCACGGACGTGTAATTTTTGGCGAGTATTTTTTTTTTAATTTTAGAGAAATGGAATGCCGACAGGAACAGGGAAGCGAAAGCGGAAATTGAATAAAGGTTAAAAGGAATACCAAAGGTCCACTACTGTTTTCGTCAATGGCACCCTTATCACCGCGCAAATGAGGCCCATAAGATTTTTTTTCTTGCGGCAAGAGGGGGGGGGGGGACTTGTTTAAGTCATTATCTATTCTAGAAAAACACCTATTTTCAGTCATTATCTCCAGTAAAACGACCCCTTCAGAGGTGAGTAGTCTTTATGGGGCATCGCCCCTGGCTGCGGGCTTGGTGTAAACTACTCATCGTTCTCGTTTGGAAGCACAGGCGCGCACAGCGTTTCTGCATCAGAAGAAGCTGCGCCCCTCCCCTCTCAGGCAATTTGAGAGGGGGGGGGGGCGACCATCTCCTTGCAATAGCAAACAAGTATGGTGTCAACGGTCAACGTTGACGCCCACAAACGCTCTTTGCGAAACAGTCAAAAGCAGTGCGAACGGGGTACGGCTACACCATCGCGTTCTGTTCTTGAAGGCGAAGAATGGGTGTGTAAAGGGAAGGGGGGAGGTAAACACTCCACTGAGAGAGAGAAAGAGGAGGCATTCACTGGAAATTAATCATTGGTTCCATATTAAGTTTCCCCTTTATTTATTATGAAATTTGTGTAACGCAAATTCCTAAATCGGGAACTGCAACGATAAGCACGTATTTACTATTTTTTGCATACAGTGCAACGCACACGACAGATAGTAAGTCTACTCAAAAGTGCAGAAGGTTGAAAGTTGCTTGACAAGATATTATGCTTTAAACATGTCCCGACGCCTTTCATAGATGTCATTCCTCCGAACCTCATCATAGTGATCAATATCCTTTGGCTATTGAGAACTTTTTATCGTTGACAATTGTTCAATGCCAGCGTTACCGTAGTATCCCGTCAATGCTTACCTGCAATGACCTCTTTCTAATCCATTTCAATATGTTTTAGGTGTATGTACAACTCAACAGAGACAACTGAATAAACGCGTAACAGCAATGAAATAGTGAAAGGTACGCTAAAAGCAAAATAATTAACGTAGTTAAAATTTTTGCTGAGATTTTGCAGAGACCCTATAAATCCTTGCCGAGATTTAAGACGAGATTCTTGCCCACATGTGGCGAGAAAGTATACTAAAAGAAACGAAGAAACACTAAAGAAACAAAACACGAAGGAAAAGAATATATCGACAGTTAACATTTAAAAAAAAGCAAGAAAATAAATTTAAGCCGACAGAATAAGCAAAGAAGGACGCTGAAAAACTGCTGTTAATGACCATTTCCGGTTTAAAGAAACTGCGGTGGCGAGTTTCAAATTAATGAGAAAGACAGAGTGAGAGAAGCGTAGTAAATGTTTTCGGGAAAGTTATCAATAATAATAATAATAATAATAATAATAATAATAATTGTGCTTTACGCCCTAAAACCATCATTTGGCTATGAGAGACGCCGTAGTGGAGGCCTCCGGAAATTTCGACCACTTGATGTACTTTAGGGTGCACTGACAACGCACAGTGCATGGTCCTATATACCACTTCGTCTCCACCGAAATTCGACCACCACGGCCCGGATCGCACCTATACGACCTTCGGTTCAGCAGCCGGGCACCGCAGCCACTGCTTCCATCGCGGCGAACGGAAACGAACCTGATCCAAGAACTTAACGATAGTTTATAGCGCGAGAACAGAACGACGACACAGAGACAAGAAGGACACGAAGGACACGAGTGCTCGTGTCCTTCGTGTCATTCTACTCATTACATCTGTCTCAAATCGCATCTGATAGCCTGCATCGCTCCCTGCTCAGATATACTCCTTTTTCGATTTTTGGCTTTTCTTTCTATATATATATTTTTTCAGTCCAATATTACTTTGTGTTTGAAAAACCATAAGCCTCTTTACTTAAGATCCTGCCGCCCGGTTCTCGGCCGATCCCCCTTTGAAGGTGTGCACCAGAGTAACAAGGATCATCATCATCATCATCATCATCATCATCATCATCATCATCATCATTTTTGTCTCTGTGTCGTCGTTCTGTTCTCGCGCTATAAACTATCGTCATGTCATACCAACTGGTCCAAGTGGCCACACTTCCGAAAAACTTAGCCGGTATACCGTCCCCGCCAAATGCATATAGGTACAACTTCATTTTATTTGTTTCACATTCAGTTCGTTTCGAATGTCAGAACGATAGAACTCAGGACGCAAAAATGTCGCACTGTATATGGAGATCGTGCAGCGCGGCCAAGCCGGATGTGCGCACCTGTCAGTGTGTCAATGGTTGATTGATTGATATGTGGGGTTTAACGTCCCAAAACCACTCTATGATTATGAGAGACGCCGTAGTGGAGGGCTCCGGAAATTCAGACCACCTGGGGTTCTTTAACGTGCACCCAAATCTGAGCACACGGGCCTGCAAGTGTGTCAATAGTTATGACTGGATTGTGCACCCTGTATCAAACAAGCTGTATAACCCTATGTAAGCACGAACACGCAGATATGACACATATTTTATATGGAAATGCACACAGGTCACAGTAATATACCGAGAGGACAATGTAAAACCGGACCTTCTCGAGGAGCGTTGGCTAAGTTCTCAAACTATTTCAAAAGCTAGTTCAAAGCTAGTTCAAACAACTAAAGCTAGTTCAAAAACTAGCTAAAGCTAGTTCAAAAAACTATTTTTTGAACTAGCTCAGATCTGCACGACCAAATGTGGGCAATCCAGCGTGCCCGGACAGCGGTGGAAAAGGCATACGCCTCACCGCCCAAAACGTCGGGGTGGCCTGAGCCCGGGCCGGTAACCCTGCAGGGATTCTTTTTTTATATATTTTAATAAAGTTTTTTTTTGTCCGTTCGTCCGCACCCTGTATCTTTGCTAATGCGTGATCCACGTGCTCCGCTGTTCGCGTTTCATTTGACGGTGATAGAACAACCCTCAGCGGAGGAATGCACCTATTATCGAGTAAATACCGGCAGGACACAACGGCATCGCCATCATGCTACGTATAAAAAAAAAACATCTTAACTTTTTGTTTTTGTTTTCTTTTTCCCACGAACAAACGCGATGACAGCTCATCTCTGCGTAACAGATGGACAAAAGGACAATGCCGACGTCCCGATTGCGGACAGCTCGGCGTACAATTGTGCGCAGAAAAACATCGCGCACGTGAGAAATTTTTTGTTGTTTTATAAGTTCCGTTTACTCATAATTTTTTTTGACGGAACTACCCAGTGACTCAAAGCAGAACACAAAGCTTCGAAAATAACTGGCAGAAAAACTAAAATCGCTGGAATGAGATCTCGCGGCAGTCTACCCGGATTTACAATGGTCAACCCCCGTATTCTAGAACGTCCCTTCACTCAACGTTTCACCTTCACTTGAGAAAGCCGATGGAAGCGCCCTCTCTAGGCACGGCAAGTCACTGCATATCAGGGATAATGTGGTGCGATTCTCGAGCAGCGCAGCTTCATTTTTTAGCCGAGCAGCGGCGCCGTGCTCAACTCTGTCGAGTGAAGGGTGAAGTCGAGTCGAGGAGCGTTTGTGAATACGGGGGTAAGGCTCTCTGCTACTAATCCGATGGTCGTGGGTTCGATCCTGCAGCCGCATTTCGACGGATGCGTATAATATATACGCTGTAGAGGGCGGTGTGGTGTCAGTGCACCTTAAGGGCCAAACCTCATAAGCGCGAAAATGCACGCGACAGCGACGAGCGACGCTATGAGCGACGAAACAGGGCGTTCGCGCGGCGTGTCGCGTGCTCGTTTTCGCGCGATCACTCGGTTCTCCAGATTTGGAAACCGTCACTCGTCACCCGGAAGTGCTGGGCTCAAGCAGCCAATAGCGAAATACCGGAAAAGACAAAGACTACATTGGTGCACGTGACCCTGCCCGTGTCACGTATGCGCAACAAGAAATAACGCAATATTTATTACGCATGTGCATATAAAAAAGTGCTGCAAGGCAATAATAAACACTTTCCGTTTCATTACACAACAATATATCTTATTTTTATATTGCATACCGCTCGCTACGCGGTTTTCTTGGGGCGAATAGACGGCCTCATGCCAGCAACAGTGGAATTCGCTCGCCGAAGCCGTGGCGTGAATGAGGTTTGCCTGCGCTAGCGACTGGTCACGCGAAGCCGATCTACGTCGCGTCGCTTGTCGCGTGCATTTTCGCGCTTATGAGGTTTGGCCTTAAAGGACGCTTCAACATACTTGTGAAGTGTTTATCCGCTTTCTAAACAGAGCCTATCAATTCACTCCTAACAAAGAAATATTTTTTTGCACTTTATCACTTAGTTTTCTTCAACGAATTAATATTTGGCTTGATTTTGGCTGATCGTGTGAGCCACAACAAAGCCGCTGTCGCAATGGCCGCAAAGTTGCACGGAGGCAGCATTTTCATTTTTTGTTGTAGCAGAGCTTTCATTCGCACAAACCTCGTCAATGGCACTCAACTTTAGGAGCATCTCATTACTGTAGTGATGAAATAACGATGCCGATGTACACATGTCACAGG